TGAAAAATGATGAATTAGTACAGTCTCGATCTTTTAGACGATTTTTCCGTTCTCCGTTTCGTTCGAGTGGCGACCCACGCGTCGTGTGTAACAGTGTAACGTTGAACGGGGCGACATTTAATTCAGTCGTGGCTATTCAATCTCGACAGTAATATTACATAAGTCGCAGGTGACATCGCGGCTTCGTTTAACGCACGCGCACGCGCACGCGTTTCTCTACGTAGTTGTATGTCATACCATTTCGAGATTCAAGCAAGACGAAATTTACAAATCTCGACAGTACGTCGTCTTTTACACGTTAAACATATATGTGAAATTAGCGTGTCATTTTATAAAAATCATTTTCATCATCCGTCGAAAGTTCTGACTTTATTTTTAATTTCTATAGGTCTAGGATAAAGTTTGCTTTATCTCAGTTTTTATCTTGATATCAGTAAAATTAGAAAGCAAGAAGGCAAGAAATTATTTCATAAACCTTACAAGATAAGAAAAACCATTTCTCTCGTGTTTATAATGAAATATCGCGGATTTCCTGCTTAAGCCTCGTTATCATTGCGCAAGATTATTATTCCGTACGCAGGAAAGCTGCGCAATATCGATAATTAAGTACGCGTGATTATAAGAGCATTGTTCGCGACGCTGCGCCTATTCTTTTAATATCTCGGAATAATTCGCAGGTCAGGCTGTTGTTTATCCGTCGGAAAAAGCGCACGTCGCATTAATTTATTTCAATACGTTCTCCGCGATACGTTCGCGCGAATATATCGGTCATAGTCCCACAGGTGCGATCGAGAAAGTCATCGATCGTATCGAAAGGCGACTCACGGAAAAGTTCAATTCGCTGGCGCCACGTACATCTAACAGTCAGAACGTCTAACACCGGTGTTAGGCGCGTTCCAATGCACGTTACAATGTTTTCGCAGGACAGTTGTGAAAAAGCGAGTCGGTAATGGAACGTGAAAGCGTGCCACCGGGGTTATACAGAGGTAACATTTATTCAAGGCTCTCGTCGAGCATTGCATAATGTCTCTTTCTTTTATAGCGTTTAATGTAGATCACTTTTAAATAAACGCGATCGACAAGCTGCGCAAGTGCGTGATTTGATGTCTATCGAATCCTCTTTAATGAAACCCCATCTGATCTTATATAACTCCTTGTCAGTTATTTTTTTCTATTTTTAAACGGGAGACAGAGATTGGAGGTTGGTTGTTCTAGTCGCGCGCTGTTAAAGCCCTTCAATGGATACTATTGACAGAGAAAATATTCTCACGAGAGAATTGACCGCTCTGAATATGCTTTAATTGAATTCGATGATCACCACGAGAGAGCCGTCCGGCGACTTGTGCCGTCAACAAGATCGAAAGGTAAAAATATTGGTTTAATGGAGACACTTACATAGGAAGTAATAAGAAATGTGTATCGCAAATTGTATATCTTTCAAACGGTTCCACACAAATGCCCTAAAGTTCTTAACCTTGGCGCATTCTGGACTCGCGATCACGCGGCAGTAATGTATGAGAGATTATTGTAACATTCATTCTAAAGTTTATATGAAGAAGTTCAAAATATCATTCTTATTTATATTTCTGAAGGTCAACGGCGATATTTTTTTACATAATAAAATTATGATTATGGCAATTCAATGTTTCACGATAGAGCCGTAAGAAGATGCCTCTCGTGATATTCTTTCGTAATTAATCTATGTAATTTGCATGATTAATCGAGAGATTAAAAATTCAATTTTATCTAAGTCTCAAATGCGTTGAAGACCTTACAAAGATGACGCCTATGAGTCTCTAGCTTTAGAGATCCGTTTGGTTATCGGCGCTATCGGGCATGATAGATGGCGGGTAGTGGCCACAATAAATCATTGGATCACACCGCACGGAGGATCTACGAGAGAGCCGTCCGACTCTTCGGCTGTCGATCAGCGGCGCAGGCGGGAAACGGCGTGGCTGATAACGATCAACGACGAAAGTATTAATTATTATTTGCTGCTCGTGCCTTTCAATTTGTTTTGCTGCGCCGCACCGACACCGCTCCGCGAAAGTGACGAGACCCCGCCGGAACGATTTCGCACGCCGGCAATAAATCACGGACGATTCCGCTTCTATAACGGTGCGGAGGTGGGCCCGAACGGAGCGGGCCCTTTATAGGCCGATCGAACGATCGCGCAGAATCCAAGCCGGGATTAAATACTGATATATTAAACGTATTTTCTTCGAGAAAATAAAGGACAAATCTGAAAATTTTAGAGCTTCGCTTTCTTGTATGTTTTCAAGTTTGTCACTGTCAGGAATCTATGAAATTTTCTTGCGTAGTATACAAAAACGAGATACTGTAGTTTTAAGCTGATTTGACTGTATTGAAACAAATCCTTGATTTAAATTTGGAATAGATTCGAAATAATAATAAATAAAAATGATTCTAATCTGAATAATTTTAATTAAAAAAATTAAAAATATAATTAACACAAGCCAATTTATATATATATATATTGATATTTTATATGTAAGCATCCACACGAGCGAGAAATTTTTACGGATTTTAAAAAAGAGTGACAAATATAATATCTAATAAAATGTAACAGAAATCAATAAAGTTTGAGATATGTAGCGGATAATAATTGGGAGTCGTCGTCGCTTCGAGCAAAGTGATCATCGTAGATTGCACGTTGCAGTTCAAAGCTGCACTGAAAAAGACGATCCTTTCACACCTGGAATTAAGTAGCGCGAAGCGCTGCAGCCCTGTGATTTTGTACGAACTTTTATGTCTTAATCATCCGCAAAGAAATTACTTCTAGACGAACTAGAAGTTCATGGACAGTTTGGACTTTTACGACTTTTACGACTGCATTTCGTCTCTATCTCACCTTTAGTATCTTTAATTATTGTGATTATGTTTCGAAAAAATTCTCGCCCGCGTATTTTCCACGATAATTATGAATCGTTCGTGACAATATTTCAGCAACAACAATGTCTTATTACCAACTATGATATTCAATCAGTGATATAATCGAGATAATTTTCACTAATTGCACGTTAAAATCTAGAATTCTAACGATATAATTGTTCATATAGTGACAAGTTACATATATCACGTGAGATTTTCTTATTGAATTATTAGACGGAAAGAATAGTTTTGCTAAATATAGATAAAAAAATAATTTTATTGAGTCATCAAAATAATTACGTTCAAATTAGTTGCTACAATATTAAAAAATTTTGCGACATTATCATCACATTTAAACATACTGTAATTTTGATGACCTAACAAAATTATTTTTCAGATTTGTATCCAAATTTGTAGATCCCACAGCAGAATCGTTCTTTCCATGCACACACAGATGATAATCAAGAGTCCTTATCGCCAGCACGGACATTTCCCTACGGTTTCACTACTCGATCTTCTTTAATTTCGTCTACCTCTATTATCGACGAGTTCGCGACGAGATCGATGCACACCTGCCGAAGGGATTTTACGCAACGCGCCGCATTCCGCGCGAGGGATCTCGCGAATCACGGCGGCGGTGTTGTATGCGCAATCGGCACCGCAAAACTAATTATCGACATGGATAATTGGTACCCGCGCGGTATCGATCAAATTTCCAGCCGTGGGTGCGGTTACTCGGTTGCCGCTCGCTTTTGCCCGGCGTGCCACGCTGCTTTAAGTGCCGGGGCTGCTGCCTCGCTTACTCGAGAGAGATACCCGCTCGTTGTTCGTTCTCCCGAGGGATCGGCGAGCGCGCGGTCGCGTTGCCGCAACGGCGGCGCAACAGAAAGTGCTTATCAAGTCATTAGGGCGCCATTATGTCCCGTGCAACGTTTGTTTAACCTGATTCTGAGACTTACTTTCGTTGCGCGCCGGTGAGAAGCGAAACAATCGCCGGTGCTGTCGATCAATTTCGGCTCTCTCTCTCTTTCTCTCTCTCTCTCTCTCTCTCTCTCTCTCTCTCTCTCTCTCGTC